TGGACGCAGCTTGCCCCTTGGCTTGCGGTCGCTTACCTGCCCGACCCGGGCATAGCCATGACGGCGCCCGGATCAACCGAAGAGCCGAACAGCGGCACCACACCGCGACCTCGTCGCCCACACGACATACCTGTCGAGGAGTTAGTCACGTACACGGGTCCAGCCTGCGAGCAGCCTGGTGTGCAGCCCCTGCTGATTGCAGACAGATATGCCGATGTGCCCTGGCTGTGTGCCTTCGAAGACGCTTTCCACGTGCCACCTACGGTGCAACTTTCAGCCCAGGAGGATCAAGAACCAGACCGATGGTTTAGTGGTGTCGTGTACACGCCTTATGTGAGGCCTGTGCCAATAGCGATTCGCTGCAAGCCATACCATGGCCTGCAGCACTGCCTTGACATCATCACCGACGGTGCGCCTGGTGTCGACCCTTACACCTATAACATGTGTGTTCCTACAAGGCCACAAAGGTTCCCAGGTGTAGGCTCGTTTTTGCGGTTTCCGAGCTCCGCTCGGGGCGGCGAAGGCCACCCGCTTGCAGCAGTCCTTCTCGACCTGACAAGGACGGGAGGCAAATATTACGCATGCTACCTCCCTCGGAGGCTGCCATATGCCGAAGCCCTCCAATTTATCTTGCCACAGACTGCAGATGGTGTTGAGCCAGAAATCTTCATTGGTAACAGTGTTCGGCCGCTGGTACCTGGAAATGATTTGCCTCTCTGCGATGGTGACGTCATTTGTGTGCTATGCAGAGGACGCCCCCGGCCAGTTGAGTGCACAGCTGAAGAAACCATCGCCAACCGCGAGCGGTGGAACCACCCATGCCAGCTCCCGCGCTTAACACAGGAGGAAGGGGTGCTGTTGCAATTTGAGTCTCAACAGGTTTTCGTCCCAAGGCATCACCACTATGGCAATACTGTGCTTGAAGCTGCCGCAGAGATTTTTCGGCGCCCTGTGGATGCCTTAACTTCCTGTGCCTTTCGCACACCAGACCTGGAGCTCCAAGGTGACTGGTGCTCACATGTGGTTGTTCTGGTCGACATGAACCCCGCTGAGGCGCAAAGGCATAGGCGGCGTAGAAGGCAAGATCTCTTTACTCTGTGTGATTTTCGCCTTGTTGGGCACCGCATGTGGGCTACGCACAGCCACGTTCCTTGCATTCACATCCCGACTCTTGCGGCACGCTTTGACATTTATGTCCCCAGAAACACCCGGCTTGCGGCCACTGGCGCCGAGAGGCAAGGTGATTTGCTCGGGTACCAGGATCACTGTGTTCTTGTCTTCTACCTTGAGCCATCCACGGATGAGGAAGACGATGACAGCTCTGAGGATGGTAGACCTGACAGGCGGCTAAGCGGGCAAATCCCCCCTAGGCAGGGCCAAGCACCAGGTCAGGCACCAGGTCAACAACGCACTCAACGACGTCAAGCTTGGCCTAACAGCAGTGTCGCAAGGCGGAGCCGCTCGCGCTCAGGCAGCAGGGAACACCCAACGTTGAAAGGAGCTACATCTTGCCCTGTAAGTGCCGATTTGGTTTACTTAAGCAGCAAGGATGAGTTTGTTCCCTGTCTCAGCCAACCCGCCCCGATGCTGAGCATGCCCGACAAGGAGACTCCCTGTGTCAGTTTCAAAGGTGGGATCAGCAGTTATGTCACCACGAGCAAGGGACGGGAAGGGCCGTATTTAGGGAGCGAATCAAATGCGGTCCGTCAGGTCGCTGAGGGCGGTGGCGAGATAGCCGACCTTGACAGGGCCACCCCGTACCAGGCACCTCACCCGGTGCACCATGCCCCGCTCGACGAAGTCGGAGCTATCGAAGAAGATGGCGTCAGTACGCCAGCCATGTGCTTGGTGTACGCTCCGGGATATGTGCCTGACATCATTTATGTGAACTTGCCCATCCCCTGCAGTGTAAGTCGCGCACTGGAGCACTGCAGCCGAGGCAGAGATCAAGGTCAGGCCGAATGTTTCGACCAGATCTTCCCAGCGATGCCACAGCCGTCATCGAAATTGGCTGTGATGGTCGCCCTCCCATCTTGGGTTACGGACCGTGTAGCCGTCTTGTTCAACTGCATCGCGGTCAACCAGACACTTTTCGCGGCTGCGGTCTTTGCCCGTATGAACAAGGCGTCCCTGATTTCGGCAGCAGGCCTCACGCGCAATGGTGCGCTGCAGGCCTATGGCGCCTTCGATGTTTACTTACATGGTCTGCTGCAGCCACTGGAAGACGACCTGTGGGTCGATATCCGGTCCGGCATGTCAGTCGTTTGTGTGCCTTCAGGACAATTCCCTGGGCGAGGCTGGGATTTGGCCGAAATGCTGCAGGATGCTGCGGAGTGGGAATCAGAACCGGAAATCCCAGGCCCACCGCCAAACTTGGGAGAACGTTTCTGGGTTCTGAGTGATGGCATCCCGTCACTCTTCAAAGTCCGGCCAGGGAGGAGACGCCATGTCAAGGAAGATGTCGCAAGAGCCCTGCAGTACTCCCAAGCCAACATGACCCTCAAGGCCACGGTGCCAAGGATCATAGATTATATGGGGTTAGGGTTCCCGACCTTTGCGGTTTTAGTCGCCACTGAAGTCCTTCAGACTGTTCCGTACCCACCGGCGCGAGCACCAGAAAGCCGCACTCTGATGGTTCTTGACTGCCGGGCGGTCCTGCAGGATTTCCGGTGGCAACTTCTGCCGCATCCAACGGTCTTGTTACAGAGGTTAGCCGACCAATTCTTCGAAACTTGCCCTCCCACGCATACTGTTGTGTTTCGGGGAGCAGACACCCGACTCACGGATGAAGGAACAGTCATCGATGTCACACAAGGGCAGGTCGTAAAGGTCGAATTTGTCGAGGAATCGGATGGTAGTTCTGGGGTCGACTTAGCCTCTGTAGGCCTCGAGTCTTTCGACGCTTTATCCGACGACAATATGGACCCTGTGGAGCCCCCAGTAAGCGAAGCTGCACCGGAGCCTCTGAGTCAGGTCCCGGACGACGAAGTGGCCCCAGCCACCGGAGGGGCGGCGCCCGACAGAAGCCGCTCCCCGCGAGGCAGCCAAGAAGCCGCCCCAGTCTTCAACGAGTGTACCTTCGCGTTGCTTTCACCGGGGTTTGCCATAGAAACGGTCTCTGTGCGAATGCGCCTACCCGCGACTATCCATCATGCTGCCAGGGCAATTCAGGCGAGCAGAGCGGCGGATGTCGCGTGTGCATTCCCCCTGCTTTTCCCGGCCAGATTCCAACCTGACCTCCGTTGGGGACTCTTCCTCGCTGCCCCCATTTGGAAATTCCGGGGTTCGATTGTCTGCATTGACATGTTCGCCCATTGGGGACGGGTTTTCGCTGTAATTCTGCCGGATGTCACCATCCGGTCGAGAGTTCTTATTGCGGCTGGCCTCTCCCCTGCTGCCGAAGTCGATATTTTTCTCAATGGAGACAACTCCGGCATTGGCGATGGTGACCTTGAGGTCAGAGATGGCGATTGCCTGTCCATATTTTGGCAGGGCAGCACAGTCCCGGGCTCGCTCACGCTGAGCGAGCTACTCACCACTGATTGGGTCTGTGGAGGTGCCCCTGCTTTTCATGTCAGCTCTGCTCATGATCACTATCTTCTGGTGAGCGCGAGCGCGACCCGCCTGTTTGCTATAATGCCGCAGCGATCACAGTACTACCGAGCAGACATTGCGTCACGTGTGGACTGCGACCCGAGGGAGCTGATACTCACTCCCAGTCAGCCGCAGGTAGGGAATGCCACCATGCATGGATTTTCTTGCCGGTCTGTCGTTGCCGCCTTGAAGGTAGGACACCTCCCGATGGGACAAGGCTTTTGTGCTTGCTTTCTTGACGCCAGAGCTCTTCTGCAAGATTGGCAAACAGCCCTTACACTGGACGGATGGTTGCATGCACCGACTGCCACTGCCGCGTTGGGAGTCGACCTGCCAGAAGGATGGGAGGCATGCATCGACGGTGTTCCCAAAGACCAAGAGTGGATCTCCTACACTGCAGGCACCGTTTTCAAGATCGCTGCCTGCCCTAACCATCTTCAACCCGGCCATTCGCCTGCGATTGGGGCCTTTGCGCAGTGCCTCCCCGACGATACCTTCGCTTGCCTTCCAGAGGACGGCCGCGTGACCCCGGCAGTAGCGAGCAATGCACGGGAGCAAGGCGGTGCTGAGTGCACCACAGTCTTACCTGCCCAGACGTACATGCGGAGGTTTCTCTTTCAACAAGACACCCTTTCCACGGGTAGAGATGCCCCTGCCTCTGTTTCCCTGGCAGACAAGACGAGTGAGCCAGCTTTCCAGAAAGGAGGCCGTAGCGGAGTTCCACGCCGCGGGACTTCGAGGAAGTCTCCCAGCAAGCACGACCCCGTCAGGCTTCTCTGTTTTTGGATATGTGCGCTTGTGGTTGTCGCAGGCTGTTGGGGCCATGTCGTATCCCGGGACCAGGAAACAGGCACGGAGATTGGAGTCTCTGTTGGATTATGTAGTCTCTTTAGCACCGGGCACGGAGGGCACCATAGTGGTGCTGTGCTCCTCTGCCTCGCTGCAGTCTGTGTGCTCCCAGTGTCTGCAATGCATCTACCGCGTGTGTCCAGTCCTATAGCAC